TTTAATCTCGAGACTTTACGCTAATTTTCCCTCGGTAAATGCTACTGAACCACAACTTCTACCATTTAATTGCGCTTCGGCGATTTATCATATACATTCCCATTCAGGTGAATTAGTTAGAGCCCCCCGCGGGGCTGATGCTAAGATAACTACCACATTTGAGTCTGATCTGAGTATTGGATTGTATTTTGATGGATATAAATGCTTTGCTAGATCAAATTTAGTATTAGCAAAGAATTTATGGAGTTTCCAGTCCATTTTGAAAAAGGAAATGTTTCAGAAGTAGAACATTGACATTTAAATAGCAAGCTAATTAATATTTCAATAAATTTGAATCGAAGTTTGTCGTCCACACTTATAAATAATTTAAACGTAGATATATAAAAGGTTTGTTGAAGTAATGGCTGGGCTGACAACTTTTGATACTTTTTGGGAAAATTTCTTCTAGTGGAAGCTAAGTTTATGTTTGAAGGCTTAATTCTTTATTTTGTAAATTAGATTTAAAGTTTTTTTTTCTGCACCACTAATTGTAATTGATTCAAAACTTTATATGAAACGCCGGTTTTTTCCTTATCGGATCGCTTAGGGAACTGCCTGGCCAAGCACTGTGCAAATCGTAGAAGTTGCGGGTTCGAAACCTGAATGCATTCTTAGTGAGGTTCTTCCACTTGAAAATGGTTTTTAACCTGCGAGTCTGCAAATGTATATAATTTCCGTAAACCAATAAGCCATCTCGCTCATGGTTAGGCTTTCAAAATGTTGGCAACATTAATAAACTCTCTGAAAGTTTTAGGTTTTAACAATTTACCACTGTATTAAATATTTCCCAAAAATTTTAGTAGTTAGCAATCCTGCAATGCTTTTAAATTCTGGTAACAGTCTTTTTTTTTAAATTGTTTGTTTCCGCTGATGTTCACTTTCATAGGAAAAATATTTTTCAAAAGCCTCAAATGTTGTGCCAAATATCAATCAAAGAATTGAATCAGTATAATATTCTTCAGTTTATAATTGAAAGGCAAGAAATTTCTTCTTAAACCTACAAGCATTAATAATGTTTTTAGTTGGTGGTAGTTACGAATGACTAAATAATTTGAAATATTGAAAGTTTTTAGCTCTTTTTCTTTTTTTTAGGTACGCAATCCATCACTGAATTCAAGCATTATATATAAATAATCAGATAATGATGCTGTCAAATTATTAAGAGAAATTAAAATCTTCACAGAATCTTTATTTATTATTTCACCAAAATATTGTGGGGAGGTATGCTATTAAATATGCATACTATATTTCCCCTGCTACCTATGGAAGAAAAAAAAATCTTTGATAACAATTGTGTAAAATGTAAACGAAAATTTAACTGTCAACTACTACGCCTTTTTTACTATATTTTATAGACTGGTAGACACTTAAAAACTAAAGTTTTTAGACTTTTTGGTACTTTTGCCAACATTTTTAAGAGCAGTACGGTGAAAGAGCTGTTACAAAATACATCAAAATATAAATTTAGCTATCACTAGAAGAAATTTTCCCCAAAAACATAGGAAGTTGGCAGTCCCAAGTTAATTAAAAAGTTGTAATAAAAAAGTGATAGATATTTAAAGATCTGAACATATTTTGTTTTAAATATGTCACAAAACGAGTGTTTGGTATACGTATTAGGTTTTAAAGGGGCAACTTCATAAACGCACTCAAACACGAATTACTTGTACACAGTCAAAAGGGTTCTGTCTACAATAATAATAGTATAGATATTCATGTTGGAAATCTTTCTTAAAGCATCATAAGTAACAAAAGAAATACCTACTTAGTTAACTATTATGTACTACCTCTTTTTTCTTAGAAGTGTTTTTTACATAAAGTTTGCTATATATAAAGTTTACAATATATAGAAAGATATGCTGGATGAATTAGTCAGAGCCCCTCGCGGGGCTGATGCGAAGATAATTACAACATATGAGTAGAAAGCTATGCAAAGATTATCACGATACACAAAGAATATATATATATACACACTCTTCACCCATTATGTTTGAATTAATTCGATAATTAGTTTTTAAATCAAAAATTAATGTATGTAAATGTTTCGCACACTAACATTTACATAATACGAGTACATAACGCAGAAATTTAAAAATTGCACTTTTTAGGGAAGTTTTTTTTTCTTCTCATTATTCGAAACCTTTAACTATATCTTCGATCTCCTGTTTAAAGTTAATATATAAATTGAGGTTTACTATTAAAAAGTCTAGTTAAGACGTGCTACATGTTATTAGGCGGAATAAAATGTATTTTAGTTGATAATATTTCTCTCTTTTTTACCGAATGAAAAATCACAATGAAAAAGTAAACTAAGCAAATCTTAAAAGTGCTGTTAAGATTATTGCATTTTATTATGTTTGTGAGTACTACAATAACCCTGATAACTAGATATTTGAATTTTCAGTTTTAAAGTAAAAGCTAAGAAATTTGCGGCTCTATTTGCTGTCAGTTTTTAATTTTTCAAGGTTTGTAAAACCCCTGTAAACTGAACTAACAGTACTATAAACTAAGTCTGATTTAAAAAAAAAAAAAAAAGACATAAAACCGTTATTGTGTTAGAAGGTTAACCAAGGGATGTCAACTGTTCCGCTTTCAGCAAAAGTTTTAAGAAATTGGTTGCGAGTTAAAATAATAGAATAAAGATAATTACGCTTACTTTTCAAAAGTGTCACCACTGCAATAAAGTTGCATTTCATATGATACTTTGATTTGATTTAAAGAATTGGATTTTTGATACGTAGTGGCGGAAAATTTATTTACAATGAAAAATACTAAACTGAAAATAACTTAAATTCCGTTACCACTAGGAAATATTTTTTTGCAAAGCGGAGCAAGTTGGCATCCTTTTGCTTTTCACTGACGGAGACCACAAAAATCAAAAATTCGAATTTTTAAATTTTTGTAGCTTAATATTTCGTTTTACTACATTATTTTATGATATTTGGTTGTTACGTTGTAATTTTGTATCATAGATTTTAAATATTTTACTGTTCACATTAAATAAAATTTTAAAATTTTCAGAGTGCAAAAGGTTAAAGTAATTACATGGTATAACAAGAGTAAGACTTAGACTGAGTTCTTGACTCAGCAATACATAAATTAGTACACATAACTAATTTTACTGAAGATCATTAGCATTTAAAAAACGGTTTTAAATACGTCAAAAAAGTTCCAGGTTAACTAAAATAGCACTGACAACAGAAAAGAAAAATTTAAAAGATTTCCTAATTTTAAAACGAAGTTTTTTCGAGTTTCGTAACTGATTAATATCAGTTCACTTTTTACACATTTTGATATTCTATTCACATCAAAACAGGTTTTGACCAAGTTCGTTTCATGATTAATGTTATTTTTATAAAACATTTCTTTACAAAATGCAATTGAGGTTCTGCATAAAAATGAATACTGTTTTTAAGTATTTGTCTTAATTAATGCATAAAAATTATACAATGACTTAGTTTAGTTCCTAAATTTTTGAGCTAGTTAATATATCTGTCTTGATTTTTTCAACATTGCTAAGTTAGTGTTATCTATGTAAACTTAACCCATATGTGCCTGGCATCCTTTTAAAAGAACATTTTCTTTTTTTTTTCAAAAAAGAAAAAAATTGATAGTTCAAGTGGTTCATTGCTGGATTAATTTTGCACAAATATGGGAACTCTGCCTCCCATAATGTATTAACACTACAAACTTTTATAAATGGATCTGAAGTAAAGCACATTACTTTTTTAAATTTAAAGTGGTAGGTAACAGAAAGAACTATCCACTTGGCATAAGTTAATATGTACTACAGCTTTTCAGGTTGTAGTTTTTCATACAAAGACCGCTTTTTGTGGCACAAATAGATGAGGAAGGGTACTCCAAATGAGAATTGATAAAAATTATTTTCCAGATACTAAGCATCAGGTCTGAAAGAATGGAGAAAAAAACTGATAGTAAAGCCGTTTTATTTTATGGAGGAGTAAAATATGCTCTTACAGTTTTCCCTTATAATCTCTTCATCACTTTTATCTTTTCATGGGTAAGAAACAGTCCCATATATATGCTATAAATGCTAAAAAAATCTTGGTAGACGTAGACATTCTAATCTAAATTCAATTGAATTACCAATAATTTGAATTATAATAATTGAATTATATATGATAACTTAATTATATTCATATAACTTGAATTATACGTAATAAATTGAATTAATGAACTAATAATTAATATCTTAAATTGAATTGAATCCAAGAATGCCACAAACTAAAATGTAAAAATTAAAAGAGGTGGTAGAATGTGTGAAGCTGCACTAAAAATGTAAGAAGTGGTAGAAGCACTACTCAATATTATTATTGTTTTTCATCTTGTTTAATTATTCACTCATGACTACGACCGCATGATATAAATTATTCATAGTTGATGCGAATAATTCTACTGGTTCACCTTCAGCAGTAATCTGTAAGAAATATGTTACGAAAAAGTTATAATCTCTTTTAATAGATTTTTGCGTTTAATTTATCGCCACTTTTTACATTTTTAGTCTCCTGTGCCATTTCTGGAATGAAATAGAAAAACCTGAGTTTTGTTATCACTAAAGATATAAAACCTTCGCTTTCTCATTCAAGACTTGATAAAGAAAATTTCTTTCATTCTTTTTCCTAACCACCGTGAAGAATATGTTTTACAGTCAAACCGCCAGTAGTTCAAATGACAACATATAAACTTGAAATTTATATAGTTTGATAGTATTTCTTTCCCTAATAAACTTGAATTTAGTGTTGAAGATATATTCTGATAAAGCTATTATCCCTCCATTAAATTTGAACTTGAAACATCTAACGAGACAATTCCAAGACAGGGTTTAACCACCGCTTACAACTAATGATTGATGGGAGTTACTCACCCCTCCCCTCATGGGGGTCCTAATAATACACCTTAATGGATTTCCTTGGGCAACAAAAGCCATCAAATGAACTTACCTTGATGCTGTTTCCTAGATGTTTTTTTCTCTTTCATCCATGGATATTCAGCAACATTGGAATTGAGACCGGGATGCTGTTTGCTGGGTGGACTTGGAGATGTATTTACAGTACCATGCATCGTGCTGGAAGGCTGGGGGGAGACTTCCAGCTGACAAAGGGAAGGCTGCACTGATGTCTGCATCGCATTGATTGATGATACTCGGTGAAAAGTTTCATTGATATGGGGTAGGGCCGTCATGAATTCGGCCATAGATGGTTGACTATTAATAAAACCGCTTTCACATGTTACTTCCATTCTGAATAGACTTCTTAATTGGAAGTTAACTTCTGTTTTGTCATTTTAAAATAATCACAAGCATCTTGCTTGTAAAATCAACAATTTTTTTATCACAGGAATTTTGTAAAATAAAATCTGAAGAATTGCTTATCAAATAGATATATTCAGCAAAAAAAAATTTTTTTGTAATTTTATTTCGAATCGCTGTTTTGAAATCTTGGTTTGCGAAATTTCAATAGATTAGTGAGAAAAAGTCTTTTTCACCTTAGGGGTGGTGACTAATGTTTTACTTTGTTGCACACACTCATTCCTTAAACGTTTTCTGGTAATAGTTTTTCTTGTGTCGTTTAACTCTTTTAAAGAAGGTAGACAGTTGTAAAACTGCTTTAAATAGTTTCTGTTTTTTTGTCAGCTGTCTATAAGATGTGAATGAAATCTTGATTTTATTTTAAACAGAATCGCAACAATTTCATGAATTTTTAAAATTTAGCGTTAAAAATATTATTTTGATTATGTCAAAGTTTTTATTTGTTGCTTTACGATTTAATTTATTGACAATAGTTAAAATATTAAAGTGCTCTAGGCATTGTAACTTTCATCGGAGCTTCGAAAATCTCAAGCCGCTACTCACGTAAGGAATAACGGGGAGAAAAATTGAAACTCACCGTCGAAGATCTAGTCTTGTTTTCTTTAATATACTCATTATTGCATATCAAATCTATTCGTATAATTTTCTGCTAGTCGAAATCTAAATATTGCACTATAAATTGATTAAGATTTTTCTCCGTTAAATGAGTATCACAAATAGTTCATACTTCGGTTTGTTTACGAACGGTCGGTATACGCTTCGGAGTCATCAACATCTCCCCGCGTTTCTGAATTGATATCACCAACTTAGAGAATTTCGGTTTCGGGATATCACGTGACCAGACCCTTTTCCAACCAATGATAGGGCGCGCTCCATCTATGAATAGAAGCTAGGCTGCTCGGACGCGCGGGAAGCGGGCGGCCATGCGCGCCGCCCTAGGGTTGCCGATTGGTGGAATACCATATCTACTATTTTATCACTGGTTTGAAAGAGAGAAAAAAAGATTTTCTTGCGCGCCAAATCTTTATTGTGAAAGCATTTAGCGCGTGGTTGATAAATTATCGGGCAAACAAGTGGAAACTGAGAAAGTTAAATGGTGGCAAAGTTAATTTTGCATTTCAGAGGAACATTTTTTGATTGAGATTTAATTTAATTTTAGTTAAAATTTCCTATGAAGTATATCATTTCCGTCTTTAAATAAATATCATTCTTATTTCTTACAATTTGAATACATTTGGATAGTCAATTTTTCGAAATTAAAGGAAATGTGATTTATTTCATATAAGAGGCTATGTTTTTAATATTTTGCGTTTTGAGCAACGAAAATCGCTTATAAATGTTTAATATTTTTAAGTGAACATAATGATGAATTAATTTTTAAGTGAACGCAGCGATACATCTATACAATTTGATCTATTACTTAATTTTGTGTCTGAAATATTATTAATTTCTTAAATTTCAATCTAATATTCAACAGAAAACACTCATTTATATATCTTCGTTAAAGAAATGAATTCCAGGGGCCACAAGTCCTGAGTTCAATCCTCGGACTAGCCAAGGCATCCCTTCAGTGAGTCGATAAAATGATTACCAAGCATGCTTGGGGAGTAAACACTGGCGTTCGGCTAATCACCCCAATCTCCTCCTGCACCTCAGAGCCCAAAGTCAAGAATACTGAGATGGGCCTTCTTTGGGCACTGAGTTTAAGAAATGGCATCATTCTTAATTATCTCATTTTATTTCCTTCTGCTCATTTAAATCTCTACAGCTTTATGTTATTATCTTTTTTTTTAAAAAAAAAAGAAAGGTCAATGCAATATTTAACATTATTCCAAATCAAAATTACACAGCTTCGTTAAAATAAGGATACTTATTTGTTTATTTTATCTACAACCATAGGTTCCTTACCTTCATTCTGCAACACATTTGAATACAACTAAACAGCTTTGTTATTTTAAGTACTTACTCAGTCATCTACGTTTTGCTGGTGCTAACGACATTTGAGTACACCTCTATAGCTTTGTCATTTCAACTAAATAGGTCTTTTGCATAGTAGGGTAAACTAACCAGTGAAGAAACACTTAAACTTCGCTTGCCTTTTAAAAAATCATTAATTTCAAAATTCGTAATTTTAGTTAAATGACAGTGTCATTATATTTGTTACTAATTGCAAATTATGTAAAAAAATTGTAGCGAACTTACATAATATTGTTTTAAAGTTTTGGAGGTTCAAATAACAAGTAGTAAGAAGTCCAAGTGAAGGAACAGCTCTTACCAGTGACTCAACACCCAGTAAAGGAACACTTAATTTCGGTTATTTTTTAATGCTCTTTATGAATTTATAAGCCATACAAATATTTAAAAACAAGCCTATTCTTAAAATTATAACATATAAATACTTGGAAAATGTTAACTTTTTTTGTAATTATGAATTGAAAATTAAAGTGTCAGCATATTAACACATACTGTTCATTCACTGAGAAATCCATGCCCAGTAAAGGAACATGCCTGTTCCCTCACTGATTGGAAGTTATTTTTCGTATTTTTAACGTACTTTTGATCCGGAACATTACTAAAGGTACAAGAAAATTAAAGTTTGTCTTATATTTTCATTAACTTAGAAAAGAAAACAGTAAAGGAACACTTGTTCCTTCACTGGTTTTTAATCGTTGGTGATCCAGTGAATAAACACCCCCTTATCTCAGTACTTTACTATGCTTTGATGCTTTAAAAAAAAATAAAACGTAACTTCAATAACTATATTTTGAATTCTCTTTTTCACCGTGAGAAAAATAAAACTATTACATGCAATTAATTCCACTTCAAACATATAAATACAAATACTAACCTTATAATTTTTTCAAAGAAACGAGGTGTTACAGAGATAATAACAAATTCAAAATTTTTTCCAGAGAAGTCTATTTGACCAGGTAATCCAAAACATTGCTACATGACTTCTTATTGTTTGGCAGTAAGCTATTGTTACCAATCTAACAAAAAACAATCTAAAGAAAAACTTTCAAATTCTTATTTTTAATCAATATACATGAAATGTTCCTTCACTGGGTAGCGTTCCTTCACTGGTTGGTTTACCCTACATGTATTCACGACATTCGCATACAACTCTTTTATAGCATTTTAAATGTTAGTTGAGTTATTGATATTAGGTATGGGATGGCTCAATGAATTCAGATTTGAATTCAAGCAACGAGTTTGAATGCTATCCTCACTGTACTTACCACTAGCAAAAATATGTATGTTATTAAATGCAGTTCTGCAGTGGACTGATTAAAAAGACAAGGTTCCCAGTAGAATACCAAAGTCAAGAACCACTGGCTGCAGTCAGTAAGTGACTAAGTGACCACCTTGATCAGCCTGCATAGGGATCGAGCGTTCTACCGTGAAGTGCTTGACTTCGCTCGTAGATCGTCAGGCAACCAAAGCGGCAGAGCCATCTCCTCTGCAGAGAATCAAAATTGTGATGACATATCTCTGGTTTATCCTCAGGGATATTTCCTAGATCGTTGCCAATAGCCCAATATGCAGCTCAAGTGTGACGTAAATAAATTACCTACCTACCGTAGGATGCAAAGAAAAATTATTTATTAAAAGTCAAAATTACGAGAAAATAGAAGTTAATGTGTATTACCTTAACTCATAATTTGTATAGCCAGTTCAGCGACAAAATTGAGATAAAAAAAATCTTACTCCAAATTAATAGACGCACTTTCACGAAGCGTTCTACATGCTACCGTATGCGGTTCTGCGTAAGCTCTGTACTTTATTTTGCGGGTGGTAAGAGCTGAAGTTGTTTTGTGATAACTGCGCAGCTCAGAACTTAGGTGTAGTCTGTCTACGAAAAGAACTCTCTTCGCCATTCATTTAGAGCAGCGGCGGTGACTATGATTACGAGGTTTAACTATATATTTCAAGTAGGGAGTCGGTTTTGGCAGCGATAAAGAGAAAATAATTGTTCTTCTGTGTGTTGTGACTTTTTTGAAATGTGTTATTTTTTGTTTCCATACTATAGTAGCAGACGGTTTTGTGGCAAGATGAGTTCTTTATATAGACAGACTATTTGTGAGTGTGAAATCTCTATAACCACTTGAGTAAAAGTTATCCGAATTTAAGACCACGAAATGCAGTGATTCGATTCTGATCTCAGAATAGCAGACAACCTTTCGGCAAATGAATTTTAATTTTTATTTGGTTAGCTTAGAAAGGTTGACTAATTAATCCTTTTTTAAACTTAGAAATATTAGAGTGCAAAATTTTGTTTTCTTAGATTTGAATAAATGTATGCATAAACCATTTAAAAAAGCAAAAAAAAAAAAAAAAATCAAAAAATCTTATTATTTACAGGAACTGTAGACCTTTTTTACCTTTTTTTTCAGAATGAAAAAAAAAAAAACTCGGCTCTCCAAATATGAAATTTTGCTTGCGTTGAAAACTTAATTATCAAGCCTACCTTCAATTTTAAACAGTCAAAGAAGGTTAATAAAAGGATCTGCATATAAACCTTGTTTCAGTTATGGTCTTAGAGTGTAAAATAGACCTTGAGAAGGTGAATTTATCCACGGTTTGAGAACGCTTTCTACTTTTGATTTGTGGAAGATGATTCATTCTCGATTTCGAAGTTTTTTCCATCCTTGCTCTGTAAAGACACACTCAATTTCGATATAAAAGGCCTGTTTATGCAAACCTCATAGGACGACATAAACTAGCGTAATTAAATTTAACATTGTTTCGAGCTCGCAACGTTTATTTGCTAATCATTTATAAACCTTGTTGGGCTTGGTGATGAAAGTTACTGTTGACGTTAAATGAACCTCACACTGCTATCCTGGATGGTTAGAACCACTGTTTAAGACACAAGAGATATTTCATGTATGCAAAAGTGTGCACAAATAATAGAAATTTTTCTACAGTAACTACGTTTTCAGAATATGCATACTTGAAGGTGAGACATGCTAGTTAAAAGGTTTAAATCTCCTTATTTTATGATGCAATATACAAACCTATGACGAATTCATGATACAATGTGTGCCAAAGATAACTTGAGTAACAAGCTCTCTGAAGCTACTAGCTAGGTATCAGGTATTATAATTTTAAGTTTTTTTAAGTATTCTAAATTTTTTTCTACAAAGTTATGCTTGATATTAACTCATTTGTGCCTAGCAATCATCAAAACAGTTTCTTATTGGAAAAGGGAATTAAAACATCCGTTTCATTATTAAGATTTATTTTCCATAACCAAAGATAACTACCCTAATATATGAATAATATAAATACTTATTTTTTATCAGAAGCAGTGTTTTTTAGTTTATTAAAGCAAAAGGGGAAAGTAACAGAAAGAAATGTCCCTTAGAAAAAACAACTATGCTCTACTACTATTTTGTAGGCTAGGCTTTAACCCTTGGTGGCACAGTGTAGCTAGTTTGGTAACACTAATTTCTTAAATGTTACAAACCACTAGAAAAGTGAAACTAATAACTGTTAAACGTTTAGCAACCACTATTCTTCAAACAACAAATATTTAAAGTACGTCGCGTCACGCAGAAAGATGCCAACAGCTCCGGATTCCACAAAAAATTTTGAAAAACGATAGTCCGAAAACTAAAATTTGCAGCTTTACGGGTAATGATGCGAATTTTTTAAAAGGCTTACAACAGTAAACTGCAACAAAGTGGCGTTTTATATAAGCTTTTGAATTTTTCATAAATAGTGGTGGATAAAAGCCCTACAAATTTAATTGACTAAACGAAAAATCATACAAGATTACCACTGTAAAATATTTATCTGCAGTCCAAGTTGGTGTTTTTGAATGTACTGTCTGATGTCGCAGCTGCTAATGACCTGTCTG